GCATTTAAACTGCTTTGTTATTGAACGAATTTTACAAAGAAGAAAAAAGTAATCAGATATTTGCTATTTTAAATTAATTTCATGAATATGTCTTCATTAGCCTTGACCAAGAGAAGTTAAATAGGTAACTTAAAGGACTTCCCTGGTGGTGCAGTGGTTAACAGTCCGTCTGCCAATGCAGGGGACACAGGTTCGAGCCCTGGTCCAGGAAGATCCCACATGCATGACGCAACTAAGAGTTCGTGTGCCGCAACTAAGGAGCCCATGAGCCGCAACTAGGGAGCCCGCTGGCTGCAACTAAGGAGCACACAAACCGCAACTAAGGAGGCAGCAAGCTGCAACAAAGGAGAATGCTGGCTGCAACTAAGGAGCACATGTGCCACAGCTAAGGAGCCAGCGAGCCACAACAAAGGGGCACGTGAGCCGCAACTAAGAAGCCCACCTGCCGCAACTAAGACCCAGTGCCACCAAATAAATTAATTAATTAAAAAAAAAAAAAAGAAATAAAGGTCCTGTAGACTCTGGTGGAGGAAAGGCTGTCCTCCCACCTGTATTTGTCCTCACTTCCATCTCCATTCCTCTCCCAGGACGAGGCCAGCTGCTGGAGGATGGGCGGATTAAGCTCACTTTGGCCACAATAGCTGGCTTCCCAGATGGCCCCCTGCAGGAGAAAAGCCAGGGTCTCCCTGCCCTTCTTTCTTCTCCCTTGTGAAATGAGATGAGACTGGAGGCAGCTCCCGCAGGAGGGTCCTCTGCCTGTGAGCCTTCTCCCATTCTGCTATCAGGACTGAGGAGAACTTGCCTCTTCTCTTTTGGTTCTTCACACCAGCTGAGGTGCTCTGGCCTTCCTTTGCATTGCAGAGGCAAGATTCAGGATCTGGATTCAGGCTCCAAGACAGAAGTAGACAGAGGTCTTTGGATTGCTTCTCATTCTAGGCTCCTCTGGCAACCTGAGTCTGGGGGGGTCCAGTCAGTACACTAGTGTGTTGCACTGCAGCTTTAAAATGAAAGCTCCAACAAGTAATTGCCATTCTCTCACTCTGGTATTTTAGGGTGTGTGTGTGTATGTGTGTGTGTGTGTGTGTGAGAGAGAGAGAGACTGTGTGAGGGTGGGTACACATGAGCTTATACCTTCCACAGGGATGATGGATTCAGGGATTCCTGGATGTTTGGGCCAATGCTTTCTTAATGGTACCCCAACTCATCATTTTCTGATATGGACCCAAGTCAAGGAGACTGTGCATCACAATACAATGGGGTGGGTACTGTGATGCGGGGAGCAGGGTCCAGGCTGCTGTGAGTCAGCCTAGGAATAGACATATACACTGGCCAGCAGAGGCTTTAAGGAGAAAACTGTCACTAGTTTAGACTTTTTTCTTTGGTTTTATCTTTCTGCCTTCTTCTTAGCTCTCTCAAAAAGGTAAGCTTTGAGAGCCAAGGTTAACTATGGGTCTAAGCAAAATACACAGAGACCACAGTGCCTCTTCTCTCTCTCAAGACTAGACTTGCCAGCTTCACAACTGATCCAGGCCCCTCACCTGGACGGAGTCCCCACAGCAGGGCTTGTAAGGCAAATATCTAACAGTATTTTCCAAATTTTGCTCCAGATATTATATGAAGAAAGTATCCTGCAGTCAGGTTCGATTTAGAAACACCAGCAGAATTTTTCTGAGCCTTTTCCAAGAAGTGAGATCTATTATGCAGAGTTTTCCAAACTTACTTGATTCTAGAATCATTTCCTCCAAATATCTCATGGCATAAGACTGCCTCAGAACTCTTGGGTAAAAAGTACCCAAAGAAATAAGTGATGCCCATCGTGCCATAACATCTCGTTGGCAGATCTCCCCCTGGAACCTGGACTCAGAGTCTAGGCTATGACTTTCTCACCACACAGACGTGACGAAGGACTAAATAAATGAAGCCTCTGGTTGTTTTCACACTTTTTTATTTCCTAACGCAGATTTTGTGACTATCTTCACAGAAATGCTATTGCCTTTTCACTAATAGTACAGCATTTCTTGGTGTTAGTAGTTTCCCACTAAACAATGATTTCTTTCAATCGCTCTAAGTATATGTGAATCACTCATTTTGTTGAAGCATCTTAGAAAATAACTTTCTAATCCTGACGTTTTTAATCATAAATGTCACTAAAACCTAAAAATTTCTAATATTTAACTGTAGCCATAGACCTAGCATTGACTCTTCTGTGTAGTGTCTGATCTATACATCCCTCTGCCCCCCTTAGTTTTGCGATGGCCCTAAATTAGCTCAGTGCCCCCACTTCCCACTCTCCAGGGGCATGGCTCTTGCAGACTCTGTAGTTAGCCTGAACGCTTCCTTGGGAAGTAGACACTTGCTCTAATAGCAGAGTCCCAGAGCCCTGCTGTACTGCCATCCATCCCCACCCACCACAGAGACTCCTCAAATTCCCAGGATGAAACAGCTAAGGTCTGTTGCACTGGCTTTAGAAACAAAGAACGGCGCCAGCTGCGGTCTCTGTGGGCTGTGTGCCCAGGACTTTGACTCCTCTTGGCTTACTGAGCATGGGCATGTAAGAGTAGGAAAGGTACAGATTACTTAATTCTTGCCAGTAGGCTAATTCTTATCTGCCTTGAGGTAAATGGAAAGGCAAGGAGAGGACTATTGCTAGACGCTGAATGTTCATGTCCCCTCAAAGTTCATTATGTTGAAACCTAATCCTCAGCGTGATGGTATTAGGTGGGGAGGCCTTTAGGAGGTGATTAGGTCATGAGGGTGGACTGCTCATGAACAGGGTTAGTGCCCTCATGAACGAGACCTCAGAGGGCTGCCTTCTCCCTTCTGCCACATGAGTACACAGGGAGAAGTCAGCCATCTGCAACCCGAAAGAGGGCCTGCTCCAGACACCAAATCTGCCAGAGCCTTGGTCTTGGACTCTGAGGTCTCCAGAAGTGTGAGAAATAGTTGTTTGTTGTATAAGCCACCCAGTCGATGGTATTTTGTCATAGCAGCTTGAAGGAAGCAAGACAATTAAATTGTCTTTTTTATCAGGGATTATGTGTATGTGCCCATCTGTATGGCTGCACCATGCCAGATGTGAGTAATCCTCAAGGAGTAACAGGTGAATGAGCCTGGAACGAGTGGATACCATATATAAAAAGACATAACAGTGGGGAAAAGGTGATTTAAAGTTAGAAGAGTCTGCATCTCAACTCTGCCACTTTTAGTAGTTGAGTGACCATGGGTGATTCATTTTTAGTCCTTAGAGCCAGTTTTCTTATAAGCAACATAGAATTATTCATCTTTCTCACTACCCGTGTATGTGTATCTGTATATGCAGAGAAATATGTCTAGAATGGTTTACATCAAATGTTAACATGGTTGTTTACGGAATTTGGGAATTGGGTGGCTTTTCCCTTTATATTTTGTGCTTTTCACTAATATTTGATCTTTTTCAAGGTAAAAGTGTAAAGCATACCCCAAATACTGTCAATGTAAAATTGTAATCATATGATAAAATGAAATCTTTCATATTTTTAAGCTTTTGAAATGGGAGAGTCTTATAAAAATTCCCATAAATCCAACCAAGTATCATTCCTTCAGTTTCTTTTTTCCTAACTTGTGTATATAAATAGGTCTTCATATTTAATCTTTCCAGCAGACAGTCTTCTACCTTTTTCTCCATTAATCTTGGAAGAATCTTTAGAAGGTAATATGAAGACTACTGTTTTAAGAAAATATTGAAGGAAATTAACAAACCACCTTACCTGGAAGAGCAGCAGATCTTTTAAAGCCTAATACTTCAAAGGGAAAAACAAAAACAAAAAGCAGGGGAAAAAAGTTAATATGGAAAAATGTAAAACCAGTTTAAATTATCTGTTTAACAAATGAAGTGCCACTATGTTTCATTCCTAGTTACATGGAAACATAGATATTTTGAATTAAAAAACAAATAAGAGGTTAGCAGCTTTTTTAGGGAGTTTGTGACAATTTTCTCTGCTTCACGGGTCCCAGAGGTCAGATGGGGTCCCAACTGGTGGCAGTTTATTCCTTCAGCTATTTATATTTTTATTCATGAACCGCTAACAATCAATAAATGGTACAACTTGTGAGAATTTCAAAATACTATTTTCCAGCCGCAAAGAAATTCTCCCAACTGAAATTAGAATTTGATAGGCTTAAATACTTTACAAATGCTTCAAATGAGATTATGAAGCCAACCAGTAGATATTTATTTTACTAAAATATAGGCATGTTTTCCTTTAAATATTTGAGATTCTGTCTACAGTGCCTCTCTTATATTCATTCAAATTATTCTTATATTCCAAAACAATGAGGCTTCTAAACTGGTGGAATGTTGCCAGGAAATTTCAACAGAGTTTGAAGGCAACATGACCAAAAGGCACAGTTTAAATTGGCTTAGGGGATGAATGGGCTCCTTATCAGAGCAGCTGAAGGCTGTATATAATTAACAGCATCTGTCAACATTAAAAGCGCTGTATATAGAACAAGCAGGCCCTACAGCCCCACTAAACAGCAACCTCCAGCTTCTGGTACCTTAAAATCCACAAGACCTAAACAAAAAGCCCCAAGCCATGACTAGAAGGACACGGATACATTTTAGTGATACTAGCAGGGCTACAAAGCAACAGCTAATTAATGTTAATTATCTAGAACAACTCTGTGAACAAGAGCATTGAGATTTCAAATTAGCCAGCTATCATCAAAAATATAAAGTACCATTTATGAAGATAACTTTATATTTGAAATTACTGATTTAAAAATCTTTCTCATGTTATTTTAATTTTTAAATGGTGTGAAAATGATCTACTAACCTCCCTTTTTACATGATGAATTTAATTCAATTTAATTCAGCTTGACTATTTCTGTAAGAAGAGTATTAAATTCACTCTATGGCAATTTTTAGGTTTTTTTTGAAAAAATACATTAAATACGTTTCACTCGTGAACAGGTACAAAACAACTAGAACCAAAAGAGACCCAAACCCAGAGGAAATTTCATTAAATAAATTTATTTGTTAAAATAATTTAACTCCAAATACAACTGTTGAATTTGCATTGAGTTATAACTACAATTCATGTTTTAATTGAAATGTCAAGGTTTAACAACTGACATTGTTACAAAACAATAAACTGTTGTTCAATTTTAAATGGTCAGTTGTATTAGAGCTCAACAATTAACTGTGAACTATATTTATCTCTGGGAAATCCCAAATCAATAAGGATAAGTCTGTTTCCAAAACCCACTGCAGTCATTCTTGAAACCCTGATCAAGATTTAAGAGATGCACAATGTGACACGTTAAAAAAAAAAAAAAAAAAAAAAAAGACCCCCATAGTCTTTAACATTTGATTGGCTAAGGAGACAATTAAAGCTTACCCAAGTGCTAACACAAGACTACTGAGAAGAACAAAAAACTACAAAACAAACAAAAAACCAATGGCAACAAGCAAAATAAGCACTTTCATATTCATACATATAGACAATACCCCCAGTGGGCAACTTCTGAAAACAAACAGCAGACACCCTTAGGCAACATTTCTTTATACAGAAGAGCAAATATCAGTAGTTTTACCACAGAAAAGTGATGGCAACTGTAGCGATCAGAGTCAAAATTTCAGTCCTAATTCTACAAACCAAAGGAGAAAATCATCAAAGCACCTTTCAATAGTTTAAGGGAGATTTTATGTAATACTTTTGATCAGATGCTGGCTTGTTTTGTATAAGTTGAACAAAATGAAAGGCATCAGTTACCATCACTATCACAGCTTAAAAGAACCAAAAAAAAAAAAAGTTGCGATATAGAACGAAAAAAACTTAAAAAATGCTGCCTTTGTATAAAAGTAAAACGAGATGAAACAGAAAAAAAAAGAAAAACTTATCATAGTAGCTAAAGAAAAAGTGGGTCTTTGGATCAAACCATAACATTTTTAAGGCATGTTAGAAAAACTTTCACTTATCTAGTTGCTAGTCTGATCAGGGCATAAAATAAATAGTGACCCAAGGTCACCAACTTTTAGCCACTATTATTTCATGTGCCAACAAATTTCATCTTCCTGTTCTTAAGCTTTGTATTAACATCTCAACAAACACATTCATTCAAGCTGAGTTATATCCATACCAGATGAAATACCAACAGTAAGAGCACACAAACGTTTCCACATTTCTGCGTATCTTTGATGCTTTGTCACTAAATATTCAGGGCTGCGTGGAAACACTGATCAGGCAGCCAAATCAGTTATTAACATCTTTACAGTAAAAAACCACCTTATTGTCTGACAAACACGTCTAACTAAAACCCAAATTTTTAGATAACCTTTTCCACCTTGTATCTTGCCATACCTTTCATATCATTTAACTTTTCTTGTCTGCATAGCAATCCACAATGTAAAACTGTAGAATCTTTATAGATGTTTTTAATATGTAATCTGTTGCCATAAATTGCTACCAAATATGGAATTCTAAAAAACAGAATCATTCTTAGAAGTTACAGGATTCAAAACTCAAACAGTGCACTAACAAATATTTCTAATTCAGTTGATAAAATCATACTTCTTGAATCTTTGATTTCTCCACGTGATCGAGTCAAATCACCTTTTACGTGATGAAATTTATTTCAATAAAACTGGTCAGAACTTTCTGTCCTATAAACAAGGTGCTTCATAATTGGGGATCATAAAAAAAAACTATACTGAAGAATGCAAATATTCACAATTCAAAGACTTCTGACAACCACGGCCTGGTTTTACCCACAGATCTCTGTTTTCTCATCTACAAAAAGGACTATCCACCTTTTTTCTCTCCTCTAACCTTAATGTCAGGTTACTAAACACTTGGGGGGCTACCAATGATTTCAATAATGTATAAAAACAAATAATTTGAAAGAAAAAAATGGTTTTGATACACTATATCCTGCAGTACAGATTCTCATTATAGGCAATTATCTCTGACTTGTGCCAAATTCGTAGGAACAATGAACATACGTGCACACGCAAACATACACTCTTCGCTCAGTTACACACATAAGACCCGAGCTTACTTGCACAAGAGCGTGAAACCAACAACATGTGGGGCGGTATGTCGATCACAGGCTCAGTGATACTGCAGTTCTGAAGGCCAAATTTATCTCCAGAGGATCAGCTCAAGATACTCTCTTCAGCATTTGTAACTCTGAAGTTAGTTGAAAACCCTTCTGCGCTTGATTGTAAAACGTATGAATAGGTTTTTCGTGTGCCTTTAGTCATGCAAATGATAAATACTTTACGGCTATGAAAACCAAAAATGTCAGAACTTGAGCACCTTTTCAAAACAAAATATTCACTCTAGCTTTATTTGCCACTTCAGTAATCAGGGCAAAATTGTTATAAGAAAATCTTTATATAATTCTCCAGGAAAATTAAAGGGTTTTTTTTTTTTTTTGTCTCTTAACTTCCACTCTATAATTTATGTTCTACTTTTAAGCCCAAATTATTTCTCATGGTTATTCAATTTTTTAAATGCCTGCGATAAAGCTCTGCTATAGAAAACTTGATTTCGAAAGCAGGTTAGCCAAGAATCACACCACAACCATAGCCCTTAAAGGCAAGAAGGAATTTGCTGCTTTAACGAACGTAAAAATGCAAGATATCTGTACTGTCTTGTGAGGTTTCTGCAAACGGGAACATGTGGATGCAACATGGCTTCGTTTTCCTTACATGATGGTACTAGTTAATCTACTAGAACACTTCTCGTTAGTAAGGCTACACAATCTCTTTCCGTCACAGTTGCTTCCTTCTTGTTCAGTAAAGTAATAAAGACCATCCCTGCTTAGTTAACAGAGGGTGGGTTTGGGGTTTTAATTCGGCTCAAACCCTTGTAAGAGTCTCCACTTTCTGGGCAAAGCAGGTGATGGCACATTCTAACACTAGGCTGTATTTTTACACAACCTGTTGTGACTTTTGCTCTATCAAGGACTGATGTGTGAGTTAGTTCCGTGTCACAAATTAGGATAACATCTACAATTAAGCATCGATTTTGAAAAACAAATATGTCAGCTGAGCAAAGAATCTCTCCCTGTAATGCTGTTGGCAGGTCAGCTGTTGTTATCTTACTTGACGTGATACATTGGTTAGAAGCACTATCTCAGTTCCTGAAATTCAGTACTCTTGTAGGAAAATATTTCTCCTTAATTTTTTTTTTAACAGAAGACAAAATATTTTAATTGTAAGTGGTCACAGGAATTCTTCTGGTTTCTTGCCCATGATTATTTTTAACATATACCATGGTTGCTTCTGTCAACTCAGCGACAATGCAATGATAGCTTTCAAAGGAGAACACTCTGTAGATCGACTTGGCTATGCCTGAAGCTGCAGGTGCCTAGAGAAGACTGAGGACCACGGCGAAGACTGGAGTTACTGAACCCATATGTTACTCAGAGACATCAACTGACCATCACTGCTCCACTCTGAACAAGGACGGCTATTTCACTGGAGATTCACACCACACATCCTGCAAGCTCCACTGCTGAGCAGACGAGGTTGGTATCGCCTACGATTCAGGGCAGCTCTTGACCAGGACAGCCACGTGTGAATGCTACTGGATGTTACATGCAGAACAGCACGGGTCATCCTTGTCGGGCTGCGCGGCATAGTTCATTTGCCTCACAATTTCTGCAAAGAGTTCGTCCACCATTGTTTTACTCTTGGCAGACGTCTCCATGAAGGGGCAGCCCCACTCTTCTGCAAGGGCTCTGCCTTCATTGGAGGACACTTCTCTCTCACTTTCCAGATCTACTTTGTTTCCGACCAAGATGACTGGCACTTTCTCATACCTACGAGAGAATAAACAAAACACACAGATGTTGGAGAAGTTAGCACAAAGTTAAACAGGTAAAGTGTATTTTCTCTTTATTCTCTATATTCTACTACAAATATACTTTTTAGTTACATGAAAAATTATTTGCTCCAGTTGGTTTGACATTGCCAGAAGGCATTTAGAAGCAGCTCTCATAGTAGGTCATAAATGGGTTTTTCAAAATGATGTTTTAAATTAATCAATTATACATCTTTTAAAATCAATTTACCTTTCCAGATATACTTGGAAAATTATTCTCAGAATCTCAGAATAAATCCCTTTTTGTGGATTAATTTACACTTTTTTCATTATAAGAGATGCTTACAAAAATTCAGGTGATGAGGTACTAGCTCTTGTGACTAAACGAATAATTTATAATTTTATATAATTTCAGCATTTTACTATGTTCTAGAAGTATACAAAACTGATCATGTTCTAATAGTTCCTAAATAAGAAAAAAGCTAGTAGAACTCATTAGGATGAAACCCACCAAACACAACTATACTCTATCCCTTTACACAAACTGTTATAGATTAGCCTGTTGAAAGACAATCACGGTTCTTTTCAGCCTGACAAGGACTTAAACATTCCGATCATTAGCTTTATTTGATGTTACCACTTCTTTTCCTTCCTAACTAGAATCAGTGTGCTACAGACTAAATGTGTGTCCAACCAAAATTCATATGTTGAAACCTAATCCCCAAAGTGATGGTGACGGTATTTAGGTTGGGCCTTTGGGAAGTGATTAGATCATGAATGGAATTTGTGCCCTTATAAAAAAGAGCCCAGAGAGCTCCTTTGCCCCTACAGCCAAGTAAAGACATAGTGAAAAGATGACAGTGTATGAACTAGGGAAGTGGGCCCACACCCGACACTGAATCTTCCAGAGCCTTGACCTTGGACTCCCCAGCCTCTAGAACTGGGAGGAATAAATTTCTGTTGTTTAAGTCAGGCAGTCTATTGTATTTTTGTTATAGGAGTCAGATGGACTCAGGTAAGGTGTCTATAAGTAACGATGTTTGGAAAAAACTAATCTAATAGACAACAGATAATATGAAAAGAACAAAGAGGTCCTAAATCATTTTGGTACTAAAGATGATTCTCTCTACAATGATTACTCATGGTGTAAAAATACAGGGTGCTACTGTGTATATTTATTTACTATTTGTGTTTATGTTTGTTCTAAGCAATGTTGCTAATACATTTGTACTTTATATATCATTTTAAAGGCTTTTTGTGATTTTAGGATAAATCAATACCTGTGTCTGTACTTACTCCTAAGCAGAATGCATCTCTAATTTATAAAGGAAGCAAACTGCAAACCTGCACACAAGTGATAACAAATGTGACTGGATACAGCTAATCCGTTAGAAGAGAAAGCTACACAGTCAGGATTTACTAAGGCAGGATTTGTAGAGCGTTTTTATCATTCAGGAAACTGAGTAACAGGCTGGCAGCTAATGTTAGTGACAGTACTTCCACAACTTCATCATCCTGGCAAGATGGTTCATCTCTACTCACCCTAATTTATAAAGCAAACTATATTCCCAACAGAGTCTCTCTTTTTTTCTTTGGCACAAGATCAAACTGAGAATGGTCTCAACAACAGGGCACACTCCAGGCAGTGTGCCCCTTAGAAATCTGAAATACACAAGCAACTTAAAAATGAGTGGGGACAGTGGGGATAACAATATCAAAGGTAAATCTAAGATTTGGATATTATCATTTTGCTAGAAATGGATCTGGACAATTCCAGTTTTTATCAAAGGACTTTCCACGCATTTACTGTATTTCAGCGATGCCTAGGCTTTCTGATCTCAGATCATACTGAGAGCTCTGAACATATGACACAGGAGTTTTTCACATCTTCTAGTACCCTCACATACAAACAATTATGTGTACTCCTTGGCCTCTGGGAGGACAACGGCAGTGAGAATGAAGCTGCATTACAAACACTATAAATCAGTGCTTTGCATACAAGCCCTCTTGGCCTGCTGTACAGAGAAGCTTGGCAAGGAGCTGACACGGCCAGTCCTGTCAGGACAAGGTCAGCTCCTAATCTGTTTTACTTGCAAAGGTATAACTGCATTTTGTTTTTCTTATAAGAGGCTATACATCACTGTGTGTTTAAAACACTTTGTCTAGAAGTGAAGTTACATAAACGTTAATAAAATTAAGTAAAATTTATCGATTAAATTTAAGTTAAAATTAATTTCAATCTCTGTTTACAATACTTAACAAAAGGGAAAGTGATAAGCATCCCTTTCTATTATTAATCAAGTGATAACTGTTTTAAGGAATACTTTTTAGTTTAAATATACAGTATAATATGCTTTATACATAAAGAAATATTTCTTACTTTTAATTAAAAACTACAAATATGTGGATTTTCAAAATGTGTAGAAAAACCAAATCATTAACCATCGTATGATAGAATCTGAATAAATCTAACAGATTCTCAAAAGGGTAATAACTAGAACACTGCAAACATAGGTCCACTTGCAACAGTATTTAATGATTGTTAAACCGAAATGTCCACTTAGTCGTATCAGAGACCTTGTCCATTATATCACACACTGAGTTCAGTGGTCTTTCCTAAAACCAAGATGCTAAAGATGCTAGAGAAATCCAGATTAATATTCTCAGAAGGCTTTAAAAGACTGAATAAGATGTTTAAGAAAAAACGGTATTATGTACATTTCAGAACACCCGATGGTGATCAATTTCGTGGCTCTTTCGGTTAACATAAATATGTGAGACAGGATCTGGAGGCTCAGCTTCCAGTCGGGCCACTGAGAGGCTGCAAGGCTGGGCAAATCAGTCACTCTACTCGCCCGTATTTCATTTCCTCGTCAGTAAAGCAGGAGTAAGAACATCTGTTCCCACTTAACACACAAGGTTGCTGTAACGGTCACGTGAGAGAACCTAGGAAAAACCAAGTGCCGGATAAACGAAGGGTGGCGTTCTTTCCCCTCCTGCCCGCTGATATGAGACCACGGCCTCAGGAAGTGTGAAGAAGGAGGGGGAACTGGTGGGCGGGGGTGAGGAGTGCGAGGGAGGGCGCGCCAACCTGGGCGGTGAGGACGAGGGCCAGAGGCAGGCCTGGAGTCACAGGGATAAAGCAGCGCCCTGACAACAGCCTCTTCTACTCTACCCCGCCCAGGCTGAGCATCGTAACCACAGGGAACAGGAAAAGCGGAAGAGCCTTCTCCTAATGTGGGTACCTGTGGGGAAGGGGATCGGAAAAGGCGCTGGCTTGGGATGACAGAATTGGTCCTCTGTGTGGAGGAAAGATCTGGAGAAACCTGGATCCTCCTTCAGGAAGATGAGTGAGAAAGAAATGGGACAGCAGCAAAGGATGAGCTTGACAGAGTAAAGTGAGGCTGTGAGGAAACTGGCTCTGCTCTGCACTGTGGCTATACCGTATATTAAGAAGCAAACAAACCGAAAACGCCCAGACCAGGACTCCAGTTCCAGAACTGCCTCTCGCCAGTGCTGTGAATTTAGAAAATTAACTTAATCTCTACGTTCCGTGGTTTCTTGGACTATAAAATGAGCTGGACTAGCTAATTTCTAAGGGGTTCTTAAGCCCTGAAGTTGAAAGTCAGCACAGAAACAGCAGGTCACTCCCAAGACAACACGTATCACTTACTGAGTGACTGCTGAGAGCCCAGCACTGCTCTAAGAACAGCACCCAACGGGCTGAGCTTCACAAGAGATGCAGATGGACGCCTCAGGAGTAAGCCCAACATGCAGGGGTAACCGCGTCAGACTCAATGGGGCGAAGTCCCCAGGCAGAAGCGCTTTCCAACTTGGCGAGTGGAGCGGGTGCTCAGTGCATTCCGCCTCCCAGGAAGGTGGAGATGCACTCGGGGCCCCGGCAGCTCCATCGCACTGACACCACTGTTCAAACACAGAAACGTGGGATGCTTTTAGCTGTGCGAGCACTGAAGGCTCTACGGAAAACTGCCTGCCGCTGCGTAAGTAACTAGTGATAAACGGTCAATGTGTTGTATATTTATTCATCCATTTAACACGTTTATTTAAGGGCCTACTATGTGCTAGATACTATTCTAGGCACTTATGATACATCAGTGAATAAAACAAAGAGCTCTGCCCTAGAGTCTAGCAGAGGAGACGGTCATCGATAATACACCCAAGTAAATACGTAAATTATTGGCTTACTAAATGGTGTTAGGTGCAATGGAAAAAACCTGCAGAACAGGGATGGGGCTGGGAGCACAGGTGCTACTTTAAACCAGATGAGCAGAGTAGGCCTTGTTGGGATGGTGGCAGGTGAGCAAAGGTGTAAGGGAGTTTGCCAAGCAGGTATCTGGGGAAGAGCATGCCAGGTAGGACTCAGGCCAGGCAGTGTGAAGGCTGGTGGGAGTGTGTGTGATGGCTGGGGGCCCATCTGTATAGCCTCCTGCCCCTCCTGCAGCCAGAAACCCTGCAGCACAGAAAACCTGTTCACTTCAGGCTAAACAGAACTTTACAACCTGGGTGGCAAAAGTGGCCTCAGAAGACAAACGTGACGCCTATGACAGGGCCAACTAGATTATCTAGGAAGACTAGGTACTTGGTTGGCAGGTGACGGCAGTGCTTTCATTTCATGCTCTATATTTATAATAGTTTCGTGAGTTGTCTTCATTTTTTCTCTTTTCTAAACACATCACTTGGGAACAAAGGTGAAGATGCAAAATTCCAAAAATACTTAATTTATGTATTATTGTTAACGTTAGTAAGAGCAGAGTAGCACGCTGTCCACATCTTAAACGTCAGCTGGTTTCTCATCAACCTCAGCATAACTTCCTTGATGCTTCCTTTGAGAGTGGGATCATGCAGTGGCTTCTGCGTCTCACTTTGATTTTTGTTGATATTCTGAGAACTCTTGTTTTATTAACATGAATGTTCGTGTTGTTTACTGTATCATGAGCATGATATATTAATATATATAATACTATATTATACATTATT